GAAAGGCCCTTCCGGCGTGTACATAATACTTTTGTGATTTCAGACACGCTGCGTGTGTTGTTCTAATGTATATATTATTGCCACGCGGCGTTTAAATAATTTTTACCATTGTTGCGTACACGCTGCGTGTATATAATATCGGCCTTTACGTTTATGTGTCAGGACTAAACAGTCAATCGTCAGACCTTATCGCATTCAGTCACTGTAACAAGATTTGATTTAGTGGCAGTGGCTAAAATAGACAGACGACATGTTAGAAAAAGAGTACATCTCACAACTAAAGTAGTGCGACTAAACGATTTAAATGTGGCCATCGAACGTTTAATTGAACCCCCAGCGACCAAACAGATTGGTTGTCACAGCTGTAAGTTTAGGTGTGGCCCCAAAACATTTCCCTCAGTGTTCTCGTTCACCGTCGAACCATCATGCACTTCCATCAAACGAGCCAGTCGTCCTTTGCAGGGCGTCTGGAAAGGACGCGACCAATTTGGAGACATTAATCCCCGGGGCCGGCCAGCGGGTCGCTCTGTCTCTCTCGCACTCGTGGGGCATCCCCCTCGGCGCGCGAGAGAGACAGAGCGACGAAGCCCTGCTGTTCGGCATCGGCCATCCGGAGCCGGAGAGGCTCGGAGAGGTCCGATGACGGCCGACGGAGTAAATGGTGCGCTGCCCGGGCTTGCCCACTCCCTGACCCCTAACCTGGGAGGAGAGCCAGCCCCGCCGTCGCCCCCCTCGTCCTCCGACCTCCCTCCCCGCTAGACTGCGACTGCCGGTTGCGCGCTTTTAGGTGCCGAATGGGAAAGACCTAAAACGCGTCGGAGCGGAAACAAAACTAAACAACAGAGTGCGATTGGGGTTAAAATGAATACAGCGGGACAGAGAAGGGGCCCAACATTGGGGAACCAAGCCAACACGCAACGGCAACACATTCACCGCTGCACAAAAAGTTACTGCAGAAACGAATTGCATCTCAACTTGCATATCGCCATCTATGCCATATCGTGCCCGCCACCCCGATCCATGCCAAACAGTGCACGGTGCATATGCGGGCCCGCACACACACACACTCGCACACTTCCTCCCTCACACACACTTTGATTTGCAGAGATTGCCGCGTGTGAGAGTGGCGGCGCTCTATGATGGAGTGGGATGGAGTCATGCAAAGCCCGGAGCAGCCCGGAGCAGAGGTTCGACAACACGCTACACGCGTCCGGCACGTTCCACGTTTGACTTGGGTCCAACTCGTCTTGTTGTTCGGCTGCAGCCTGTTGTTGTTGTTTGTTGTTGCAACTAATTCCCACGTGTTTCAGGTAGCATCAATTCCGAACTACTCCCCAGTGAAGTGGGTCAGCCAGCGCGCGGCATGCAGGGCAGGGCAGGGCCAGTCACTCTGGCAGACAAGCTCGGAAGACGCGAACGGGCTCCAAATGGCGACCACAGTGCGACTACACCACAAAGTGAGGCGAGTGAAGGACAAAGGGCGTGTTGTTATTCCATCCCGTTCAACGGAAAGGGCATCGGCATCCGGCCGACCAGGCGCATGCGGGCGCCGCGGGCCGAGCGCCGCTCTCCGTCCCTCTCGCACTCACGGGGCGCACCGTTCGGGTGCGAGAGAGACAGAGCGCGCGGATCCTCTCTGCTCCCGGGCGTTTGAAACGCGCTGTGTTCTCTGACTCGTTCCCTCTCTTTTCGGCCTCAGATGCCCACCATTTCGCCCCCATATCGGCCGTCTCCCCTCTCTCTCTATCTCGCGCCCCCTTTGGCGCGCGCGCTTGCGCTCGCTTGCGCTCGCTTGCGCCGCCCCGAGTACAACCAATGGCCACACCTCGCCATGGGGGCCCATTATGGGCGGGAAAAGAAGCACGGAAAGCACATATTGGTCTTCTCCCTCTTTTGCCGCGCCACCCGCTTTCGGAGCGGCGGCAGCGGTCGCTTTTCGTGACATTGTCGCTGACCGTGCTGCTCGTGCCGCGGCCGGCCCCGTCGATGTCGCGCCGGCAAGCACACCGGAAAAAATGGCAGAAAAACGGAGAGCGTTCTGCGTGGGGAGCGCCGCCAAGTTGGCGCTCTTTGAAATAACGACGCACGGGTCGTGTGCGCACACTGTGCGCTCGCCTTTGATACGTAGTATCAAAATTAGTTCCCCCTCGCCGGATCCTCGCTGTGATGCGCTGCTGCTCCTTTCGGGTTTCACTTCATTTTCCGGGCCAGGACCTCATGGAGTCCCATGGCTGAGCGGCAGCGGGGCTAGCCTCTCACAGGGGCGCTCGGCGGCACGGCACGGCACGGCTAGTAGATTGGTTCATCAATTCAGCATGGGGCGTTATGTGGCCGCCGAAAAGCCCGCCGGCCTACTGCGCGGGCACTTGACAGGCCCCGCGGGGAGCGTACGGGAGCTTGATGGCTCTCAGGGCGCGCCGCGGCGGGGCGGGGTGGGGCGGGGCTTCCTACCTACGGCCGAAAAACTCGCGAACATCCTCAGCGGAATTAAGAAGCCGGAAACCGCGGAGTCTGCAAAGCAAATACCTCCCCGCTGCTTCAGCTCTCCGCACCAGGCCGCCTGCCCCGGTGCCCTCGGACCCCTGCAGAGCCTCAGGCTCCGGGCGGGGCGGGGCGGGGCGGGGCGGGGCGGGGCGGGCGGGGCGGGGCGGCCTCAGTGCATGGTATTGTGCCGAGTTGCGCCCCGCCCCGGCGCTTTCTCCACAGTCAAAGCGAATTAACTGGCAAGCTGAATCGCGGCTGGAGTCTGTGACTTGTTTCCGGCGACCGAGTCAAAAAGCTCTGACGGGGACAGCTTGCGGCTTGGACCTTTTTTACGGTCCGTCACACGGACTCCGGCGGGCGGGGCGGGGCGGGGCGGGGCGGGGCGGGCGGACTCAGAGGGATCAACCGGCAACGCGGCGGGCCAAACTTTCCGGGCACGCTGCTGCCTTGCCTTGCGTCCGCCTCAACTAAACGGAGCAGAATGGAGACATTACTGGACGCAGAGGTAGAAAAAGTAAAAATAAACAAACATCAAGAAAAACAGAGCGGTGCCCGAAATGCGACAGCGGGGAGCAGGAGACGGGCAGGCCGGGCAACTAAACACATTAAGACGCCGTGCCCGGGCACCGCGCCTCGCACCGCGCCTCGCACCGCGCCTCGCACCGCGCCTCGCACCGCGCCTCGCACCGCGCCTCGCACCGCGCACCAAGGCCGGCAAGGCCACGGCCGCCACGGCCTCGGCGCCGCAAGGGCGGGGCGAGTCTGAGGCCTCCAGGCGCCTCCAGGCGCCTCCAGGCTCTCCAGGGCGGCTGACGTCCCTGAAGTACGACCCCGGTTTCACCTCCGCAAGATGCCAAGGGCAGCGAATGTTAAAGGGTCTCTGGGCCAAACTGAGGACTGATCGAGACAAGGGGGGAAGGGCGGAGAGGGCGGAGGGCTGAAGGCAGCCCGGGCCGCCCTGAGCAAGCAGCAGCAACGGAGCGCCCTGCGGGGGGCCCTGCGGGAGTTCCTCGGGGAAGGGAAGGGAGTTCGCCCCTGATGGATGCGCCTCACCCCGGTCCTGACGTCCCGCCGCGCCCCGCCGCGCCCCGCCCGGCCTGAGGTATGTCCTGATGCGTCGGTGCGGCAACGGAGCACCGCGGAGGAGCACCCGCACCAAATGGCGCCCATTTTTGCCCTACACCCGGCGGCCCGGCGTTGTGCTCGCTGTGTGTTCCAAGGAACGGCCGCCCCGGCAAGCGGCTGGCACCAAGGCTGCGCCTGGCCGCGGCGTGCTCGGCGCCGTGCACCCGCTGCCCTGCGAGTGCGCCGCCGCCGCCACCGCCTCGAAAATGGCCTCGTGTCCGCCTCGACCCAAACACCATCATTCAGCGAGACACCCGATACCTCATAAAACACCGAGGCGCCCCGCGCGGCGAAAGGCACGCCACGGCATGCAACGCCACGCCACGCCACGGCACGGCGCCTCTAAATCGCGGTGCCCCGCCGTCGGCCCGCGCCAGCCATCGCAACCGCGCCATCATTGACCAATCATCGAGGGGGAATGAATGACGGCGGCCAGCCGAAAGCGGAGCGCGGAGGGGGGCGGCGATGCATGCACGCGGCATGAGGCTCGCCGAGTAGCCGGTAGCAGTGTAGTAGCCAGTGGCGAGGGCCGGCCACAAACTATTGATTTCGCGGCAGGAGCGCCAGCCACTTGGCAAGGATACGTCCGAACACTGGAGACGGCCGGCTCAGGCGGAAGGCGGACAGACGGACGGACAGATAAGGGGAATGTGGGTGGAAGGGGAGAGGGCGGGGGGAGAAAAATCAGTGGGAAATGGCGGCGGCCGAGAAAGGCCTGCCTGCGGCGCAGGGCGCAGGGCGCAGGCCCGGTCGGGAGGGAAGGGCCGAGGCCGTGCAAGCCCTGTAGGGCCTGGCAGGGCACTGTAGGGCGTGCGGCCCACCGTGCAGACCGCCGTGCAGGGCGAAGGGCTTTACGGCCGGAGTAGCGTTTCTTATCAGCCGCCCAGGTACACAAACCGCACGCGGTGTCATGTCGGAGGAAAGGGGGGGGGGGGAGTCGGCGACGCGTGTTAAGTGGGAGCGAGCGGTGTGTTAAAAGCAGGAAGGGACGGGAAGGGACGAGGTCGAAGGAGCACAGCGGAAGTACAAGGAGGGGGAGGGTCAGTTTGAGTTGCAGAGTGCAGACCGGTGCAGTTGGGGAGCCCGGAAAGGAGGAACGGAGAAAGAGAGGGAGAGAAAGAGGAAAGACAGACCGGGCTGGACCCTGCACCCCGGAGCCCCCGTCCCCTGTCTCACACGGTCAGAGAGGACGCGTTAATCCCCACCGGAAACAGTGCGTGGCGGGGCGGGGCGGGGCGGGGCGGGGCGTGGCGGGCGGGGCGTGGCGGGGCGGGGCGGCCGAGGCCGGCGCAGGGCGCAGGGCCCGCCGGAAGGGCGTACGTTGGGGCCGTGCTGGCCGTGCTGGCCGTGCCGGGCCGTGCCGGGCCAGCTGACTCACACACAACACTCACCTGCTGCTCGGTGGAATGCCGGGGGAGTGGTGGGGGAGGCGGTGCCCCCGGCGCAGGCACTGTGTGCCGCACTGTGTGCTGGCAGGGCAGTGCAGGGCGCGGTAATCCTTGAACAGGGCCTGGTGGCCTGGTGGCCTGGCGGTGCAGCAGTGCGGCAGGGTGCCCTTCGAGTAGGGCACAATCCTGGAAGGGGTCAACCCCGCAACGACACTGCTGCGCAACTGCTGCGCCACGCGACTGCACTAACACTTTTTCACGTGATGCACTTCCTAACTCTTCACTAATTGAAAACCGGACGGTGCACTGGGAGTGTCAGGCAGCGTCCTGTGGGGAATTCCCCTCACACTGTCGGTTTCTTCCACAACGAACAAAATCCACACTTGAAGTCCACTGTCAGCCTGCCGGCCCCACACTCCGCGGCGCACGCACGCGGTTTTTGCCTCTAAAGTACGTTTGCTTGCCTCTCCGTTCCGGTACTTTGCGTTCCGGTCGGCCGCTTGCGTGGCGTGGCGTGGCGTGGCAGCCAAGCGTCGTCTTCGGCGGCGGCCTCGGCGTCGAGATCGTCGGCTGCGCTCGCTGCGCTCCGATCCGCTCGACGGCGCAACGCGCGACCGAACACGCCGCTCGCGTCGCTTCGCGCGTCGCGCTCCGAAAGGCGAATGGATCCCCCACCGGCGTGGCGTCGAGGCCCGCGCTGCCGCTCGCCGCGTCCTTCCCCGCCGCCCGTTGGCGCGGCACTGGCGGCGCGGCGCGGCACTGGCTCTACCTTCACGGAGGCGCGGCGGCGGCGCGGCGGCCACAGCCCGGGGGTGGGGGGCAGGGCATAACTGGAGTGCACACGACGGGCCGGCGGTCGGAACGCATAGCGTAACAAAATGAACGGCGATCGGGATTTTATAGTTTCATGGCTTGTTAGTTTGTACAGGGAGAGCGACTGCTCAAAGCTGCTTCGCCTGTGGAACCCGTCGAGTCGCTTTTGGAACATGCCGCGTGTGAGCCCGAAGATCGGTGGGACTCGATCTTTGATCCCGCCTTTCCAGGCGTGTGTGGGGAAGAGACGAGCCTGGGAAAATCACCGGTACATGACCAGAAACAATATATTACACGTTGAATACATTGGTTCGAATTCGATCGTCCGTTTCATTTGTTTATAAATCAAATGTAACAGTAGAGATATTTTGTCAAATTGATGTATCCTGTCCACGTCCCCATCCATGTCCACTTACAACGCTCCGGACGAAACGAGTAAGATTAATTCGAGGTTGGCCAGTTTGCCGATAGCGCTCAGGTTCGAGTCCCGTCGCACCTAATTTTGCATCATGTCCGCACTTGCCCTGACGGAAGCAGCTAGATCGCTTTTGGCAGTTTTGCGGTGCTGCGGACGGCGGACGTTCCGGGACGTTCCGGGGCCTCCATGCCGCCGACACTACATCCCCTTGATCCCATCGTCCAGCATCCGGAGCGGAAATTAGAATGTGTTTGTGAAGGCTGGAGGCGGCTCTGGGTCATCGCACCGAAACTCGGTGGCTTTCCCCGCCTTCGCCCGGCACGGCTAGGCGCTGCGGTTGGAGAACGCAGCCCAGCCCGACCCAGCCGTCCGCGGGAACGGAACGCCCGAGAGACGTGCGTAGGCAACCCAACCTACTCCGCGGCGTTGGCGGACGCCGAGCACGCGGCGCCGTGTCTGCTTTCTTCGTCTGTCTCTCTCGCACCCATTGGGCCGCCACGTGGGTGCGAGAGAGACGGAGGGACGGAAGCAGTGCTGGCCTGTGCTGCGATCGCACCTTCGCACCCTGCTCGCCACCTCGGCGGGCGAGATGTTTGCCGCGGTTATCACGGCGTGGCGGGGGTTGCGGCACGCTGCGGCACGCTGCGGCACGCTGTGGCATGGGCTGGGCCGCGACGGTGGGCCGACACAGTTCGTCGCCGCAGAGCTTCCAGTGCGCATCAAGATCCTCATCGCGACCACAACGACGACCAGCTCCGAGGCGTCGCGGCCGTACCGGGCCGTACCGCCACCAACGCTAAGCCTCGCCGAGGCCGAGGCCGAGGCCGAGAGGACCCTCCCACAGAGGTTTCTTTTCTCTTTTCTTTCCCGTCCAAGCTGCTGACCGTTTCCGAATGTTTACTCAGTTGTTCCTTATCAGACACGTTCAACGTAAACGTGCCCGGGTCGGAGCGTCGCCGGGGAGGCCGCTAACACCATGAACAAGCACGGCGCCGGGGGCCACGGAGTGCGCTCCGTCATCCGTGGCAGCGAACACGGCCGCCAGCGTCAACGCAAAGGTGAGAGGCACCCCGACGCACAGTGGGCCAGAAGACCGGTGGAGGCGGCCAAAATCCCGGACGCGTTTTAAGCTCCAGAGTCGCTAAATAAATGGTGACCCCACCAATGGATTGCTCTTCGAACGATGAATCCATTGGTAGGGTCACACATCCGGTTCGAGTCCTGCTTAGTGACTCTGGAGCTCAAAACGCATCTAGAGTTTTGGCCGCCGGTGTTCTGGCCCACTGTATGACGTCGGGGACACGCCCGGCCGACACGCCGGTCCGACCCGAATGCGGCAATGTCTGTTCCAGATGGCGGCCCCGGCCGCGTGAGCTGCTGGCGGTGCGTGGCGAAGCCCGCCAAGGCCCTCGTGCGCGAGGCGCTGGCCCGCGCGCTGGCCCCGGTGCGCAGAATGCTGTGGAGGGGCATCGCGCCGACCCTGCTGGCCGTGCTCTGACCAGTGCTCTGACCGGTGGCTGTCACATCCACAGCACATCCGACTAAAACGTTCTTGGATGACGTCATGTGCCCCGCGGAAGTAATAAAGAACTGAAAATTGGAGCCAGCGGGCCGTCTAGCCCGTTTGATCAGCCTCCCCTCCTCCCCCTCTCGGGCCACGGAAGTAATTACAGTATTGCACTCGCAGAGTTTGCCTTCGTTTTCATCACGGCCCGCCCCACGTTATTCAAGTTTCATCAACAATATTTCCGCCTCCCCCTCTCTCTCTGCCTCTCTTTCCGGCGGCTCGGGCCAACACCCATTTGACGGTCTTCTCTGTGTCGCGGGCGTTTTTCTACCGCCAGTTGCCGGGGCAGGTGCGCGGTGCGGCGCGGCGGCGTCAGCGACATGCGGGCGTGTGCGGGCGACGTGAGGGGGTTTCCGTGTCAGGACTCGGTACTTGGGGCGGGGGTGGAGAGACTACCTTGTCGCTCGCGCGGTTCCAGGCGGAAAATGTGACCACGCTGGAGGCAAGCTGGAGGCAAGCTGGAAGAGAGCGGCGCGAGCCCTTCAACAGAAGTTCTCCGACTAAGGAGCTTAGGACGAGCAGGAAAGCGAGGCGCCGAGTTTGAACGCCGCGCCGTCCAGCCTGGAGGGGCTGGAGCAAGTGCCGGAGCCGGCAGCGTGCCGAGAGCGGCACGTCCCCGTCGTCCGGGAAGCAGGCTCACGGGGTGCATGTCGGCGCGCGGCTCCGGCACCACCACTCAGGCTGCGCGGGCTGTCGGGCAACTCCTCGACGGGGGCCTGCGCTCCGGCCTTCCGGGCGGCGCCCTTGGTACACTATGCACGGCGGCGGCGCTGGAGGCGGGGCTGGAGGCGAGCCAGGGCGCCGTGTCGCCCCGTCGGTCAGCCCGTCAGCCCGCCAGCCCGCCAGCCCCCACGTCTCCTCAAAGCCTCAAAGGACGCGTCGCTGGACGGGCCCTCGGGGACCGTCTGGTTGCACCGACTAGACTCGCGACGTGAAACTTTAAAACGGGGCCACTCACGTCGAAGCAACCCTGCAGGTCCTGGGATGGGCGATGGGCCAGACCTTGGGCAGGCCCGCAGCGGAGCGAGCAGGGCCGCGTCCTGTCTCGCCCTGTTTCAATGAAAGGGCGTCCCCTGCCGCAGGCCCTCTCTCATCCGGGCGGCATCCTGACACCCTGGGGCGTTCGTCCAGCGCTACATTAATTTTCTGTGTCTGTGGAGGAGGCATTCGAGTCGCGTCGCCGGGAGGCGCAGGGACACGGCGGTGGGGCAAAGAGCGGGCTGGAGTAGGGCACCGCTTGGCCCCCGGCCACTGCGCACAGAAGCCCAGCAGGTCCGTGACGACAATCTCATCGTCGTCGTCCGAATTCCCCAAAACCTCCTTGAAAACGGCCGCGAATCCAGCCAACCGCGAACGCCAGTTGGCCAAACATGCGGACAAACTCTCCCTTTAATATACGGCGAAGTTGGCAGCACTGGGCCGGTTAAGCCGCGCGAAGCGGCGAAGCAGCGAAGCCCGCCCTGGAATGGTAATGGGTGTCGTTGCAGCGACCCAATTGGCTGGAAGCGCTGGAAGCGCTGGAAGCTGGGCGGGAACGAAATGCAGGTTAGCTTACAACCAAACACCGCCTTTTGAGACTAGGTGAAATTGCGCGCACACACGTCGACTCACACAACCCAGCCATAGTCAGCATGTTGGACAGACAGACAGACAGACAGACAGACAGACAGACAGACAGACAGACAGACAGACAGACAGACAGACAGACAGACAGACAGACAGACAGACAGACAGACAGACAGACAGACAGACAGGCAGACAGGCAGACAGGCAGACGCACTGAGGCGATGCCGCCCTCGGTACCGCCACCACCGGGCACTGCTGATGGCTATCGCTGCGCCCGGCTGCGCCCGACCGGCACGGCAACCCACAGCGCCATGCCGCTCGCCGCGGCTCGCCGACGCGGAAGGGCAGTGCAGGGCTAATGAATGGGATCCGAAGGGCGCCGCGTGCCGCCTGACCGCGCTCGGCCCGCTGAGTCGGGTGTCGATTGCACGTCGGGGGGTCTGCGGACGCCGAGGGCCACCTAGGGCCACCGGGGGGCACCGGGGAGCACCCCGACCAAACCCTCTCATTACTACCGGGATGAACGAGGTCGAGTAGAGCCGGATCCAGCTACATCCCCCGTCAACCGCCAGTTTGGCAAAACATGCGGACAAACTCTCCCTTTAATTTACGCTGACTTCAAAAGAGCCAAAGTTGTGCGCGCGCGCGTGGTGTGTTTGTGTGTGTGTTTGTTTGTGTGGTGTGTGTGTGTTGTTTTTTCTGCGCCAGCGATCGCCACTTGTCTTATCCCCGGCAAACACCATTGTTTTTTTTATTTTTTCGTGTCGACGACAATTGTGTGTGTCAGGGTGCGACTAAAGGGCTGGAGAATGGGACAAGCCAGGCGCACGGCCGGCGAACGGTCTCGGTGCGGCTGCGGCGGCGCAGGGCGGCGGCAGTACAGCAGCGCGCCCTACACAGGCCGGGACAGTCCTGGCGTGTAACGCAGTAAAGCGAGCATGTCGGTGCGTCCGCCCGTCCCGCCCGCCCGTCCTCGCCCGTCATTTCCCTCAGCCACACGTGCACACACACACACACACACACACACACACACACACACACACACACACACACACACACACAAGCGCGCGCGCGCGGGCACGGGAGCAGCACGCTCAGGCAGATTGTCTGGGTATGGGCAAGCTCAAATTCCCGGAGAGGGAGAGAGAGAGAGAGAGAGAGAGAGAGAGAGA